ACCACAATGTCTGTCAACCTGGCCCTTGGTAATCAGTTCATTCTTTACTCTTAATGACAGACACCCCTGAGCTGTTCTGTATGTCTCTAGTTTTGTTATAAATGGAATCATAATATCCACTGTTGTCTAAATTATCCTCTCTGTGATAACCATCATGACAAAAAGCAACATGGGGAGGAAAAAGTTCATTTCTCTTTTAAGGCTCAAGTCACAGTCCATCACTGAGGGGAGTCAGGGCAGGTACTTGGGGTAGAAATCTGGAGTTAGAAATTGAAGCAGAGATCATGGAGGACTGTGGTTTTTTGCCTTGTTTCTCAGGCTTGTTCAACTACCTTTGTTGTGTAGCCCAGACCCACCCTCCAAGTATGGCTCTCTTCATGGTGGGCTAGGTCCTCCCACATCAATCAGCAAGCAAGAAAAGGCCTCACAGACCGATCTGATGGAGGCAATTCTTCAATTAAGATTCCCTTTTCCTAGGTATGTCTCAGTTAATATCAAGTTTACAAAAACTAAATATGACAAGTGTGTGAGGAACAGCTTCTTGAATTCATCATGGCACATTTGTGCTATATTTTTGTGAGAATCAATAACTCATATCTTTGTGAGAATCAACAACTCCTATCTTTGTGAGAATCAATAACTCATCTTTGTGAGAATCAACAACTCCTATCTTTGTGAGAATCAATAACTCATATCTTTGTGAGAATCAACTCCTATCTTTGTGAGAATCAACAACTCCTAATTTTGTGAGAACCAATAACTTCTTTCTACTGTAGTTTGGAGGTCAGTGTGCTCTAAAGGACTGTACCCTAGAGATCTGGTTCTCAGCATTATATTACTAGGAGGTAGTGGGACCTTTAAGAGCTGGGGCCTTGTGTGAGGTCTTTGAGTCATGTGAGACATGCTCGTGAAGGGGATATTGGGACTATTGCCCCTTTGCTTCCTTTCTTCCAGGTCCTCTCTATGAAGTAATTGATTTTGAACTACCACATGCACCCACCATAATGGGCTGCCTTGGCAGAAGTTCAAAGCCATAAGAGCAATCAATCATGAATGAAACCTTCAAAACACTGAGGCAAAATGTATCTTTTCTACTTATAGATAAGTCATATCTGGGATATTTGTAACTAAAAACTGATTAGCATAATTTCTTGTTATTGCTCAATAGTAAGCCACTGTATGTAATATCATAGTTTATGCATCCACTTTTTGAAGGACATTAAAGAGGCACCAGTTGGGGCTATGAATGCCCCTGTACAGATTTTTCTCAAAGGCTAACTTTTTCATTTCTTTGAAATCAATGTGACCACAGGATCATGTGTAACTGTGTGTTTAAAGTTATAAGAAGCTCTCATGAGATTTTCCAAGTGGGTTTTGAAGCTCTGTTGTTGGGTGCATATCCATTTGTGGTTGTTATGTTTTCTTGATGAGGTGAACCTTTCATCATTACATATGATCTCTCTAATTCCTGAGACTCCCTTGTTCTAGAGTGCTGTGTCTGATGTCCATGCTGTACATTAATACAGCTGCTCCAGTCCTGGTTTTATTGTTATTTCAGGGTTAATCTTCATCCACTGTTTTGCTTTTGACCTACCTGTTTCATTATACATAAAGTAATTCTCACGGAGATACCATGTCATTGTTTCTTTTTCTTTTATACATCCAGTCCAATTATCTATGCCTTTTAATTGGTTTGTTTCAATTATTTGTACTTTAAAATATTCTTATATGTTTGTGTTTAAGTGATACCCAAAACTTTTCTGATTTTTCAGTCTTTCTGTTTGTTTGTTTGTTTGTTTGTTTGTTTGTTTTTGACAGAGAGTCTCTCTGTGTAAAGTCCCAGCTATCCTGGAACTCACTGTGGAGACCAGACTGACCTTAAACTCACAGAGATTCATCTGCCTCTGCCTCCCAAGTGCTTGGACTAAAGATAGGTGCCACCATGTCCAACTCTAACTTTTCTATTTTTAACTCTGCCTCCTTGTATCAACTTGTTATTTCAGTAGATATAATATGTGTACTAGTTTTTCACAGTCCATGCAGGATTAATACTTTATTGTATGATACAGAATTTGGAAAACTTCACACTGTCTGGGTCCCTTCACTTTACCTTCTCCAAGTGGCAGTTTTCTGCAATAGTCCCTCCCCTAGTCCAGGGAAGCTGTATTCTGAATATGGTACTATGAATAGTAGTGATCCCTATATATACTGTTTATCTCTGTAAATGCATGATAAACTTTAATGATTAAATTAGACACAGTAAGGGATGAACATCAACTAATTGTAAAATAGGACAGTTATAGCAAGATGCTGTAATAACATATGAATATGTGCTTCACTTTGTCTTTTAAAATATCTCATTTACTTTTGTCATCCTTCATGTGATAATGCAAGTTCCTAAAATGCCTGCATCATGAGATGAGGCTGGGGGGGCGGGGTGACATGGGCAGCGTTGCATAGTGTCGTGCTGATATGTAAGGGTTATTAAACACCAAGAATGCTATAATCTAACAGATTGAGCTAGTAACCGAAGTGTCTACTAGGCAACTGAAGGGCAGATTGTGTATACATAGTGGATACTCTGAACAAAGGGATGACTAACATCCTGAGCAGATGGAGCTATTCAGGATGGGATGCAATTTAAAATGTATGAATTGTTATTTTAGAAATCCATATTTAGTGGTTTTAGACAACAATTGACTATAGGTAACAGAAAGTAAAACTCTACTAAAAACACCATCAGATACTGTTACCATTATACTTACAATCACACATATTTAATGGAAATTATAAGAAGAATCAATACCATTTATGTCACTTCCTGAACCTTGAGGCTTCCCTTTCATGAAGTTACGGCCTGCCTAAGGGAACACCTGGTAGTGTTTCTTTTAGAGCAGTTCCAGTGAGTCATTTTCCCAATTCCCTTTCCTCAAGAAGGCCTTTATCTCACCTCCATTACTGATGCTTATTTATGCCGAATGGAGAATTCTGGGTTAGGTCCTTTCCTTATCCCCTTAGATATGTGGCTGGTTTCTGATGACTCTGCCACGTTCAGATGGCGCTCCCTGTGTGTGCGTGGCAATTTTCCCTGGCGCTTCTCAGGACTTTCCCTGGCTGTTCTCAGGACTTCTCCCTTGTCTTGGGCTTTCCGCTGTTTGTAGTGTTTTGTCTGGGACTGGGTTTTTCTGTCTTGATGGGGGTTCTCTGAAGTGCTGGCCTCTGTAAACTGGTCTTGTGCTCATCTTATGAATTGCATCAGAGTTCTTCACATGCATTTGCTTCAGATTCCCACCCCTCTCCTGTGAACTCCACGCCACCACTATCCAGTCTTTTGAGGATTTCCCCCAGTACCTGGGTCTCTTTTGACGTTTGTAATCTCCTTACAGCTTGGGTGTTGATGTTGAATGCTCTGCCCTCGTCTCTGTTTGGTTCTCTGCCGACTTTGTTGCCAGGTAAAGCATGCACGAGTGTGTTCTTTACTCACCATGCTGTTTTCTCTAGCTTCCAGTTAACTAGTGTTGTTTTGCTTTACTGCTGTTCTAATTGTTGTTTTCTTGAGATGGGGTCTCACTCTGTGTCTGTGGCTGGCTTTAGACCAGTGTCCTCCTCTCAGGTGGGATCATTGGCATGTGCCACCATATGCAGTTTCCATTTGATTCTTATTTATATTTTTTACAATTTTTACAGAGAAATTTCAGGCTTTCCAGTGTGGTTTTCCTTACCTCTTAGGCCAGGGTTATAATAGCTGCTTATGACTGATAGTACCAACATCTCAAGGCAATTTTTGTTGCCTTGTATTTTTCCTTTAAAAAAAAATTAAGTTTTCTTGAATGATTACTTGTATGATAAGTAATCTGGATTGAACTTCTGGTATTTTTGAGTACAGAAGTCCATTTTATCTGAGGAGGACACATTCCATGACTCCAAGAGGATGCCCACAGCTACAAATAATACCGACTCCTGTGCAAACTACATTTTTTTTCTGATGCATATGTATCTATGACAGCTTTCCAGATAGTCACAGGGCTAAATTAGCAGTAACCACTCATGATGCAATAGAGTGCTTATGATACACTACAATAAAAGTTATGCAGTAGGGTCCCTTTCACATTCTGTCACCACCACAATTATAGATTAACTGCATGGCATGACAATGCCATGTTCAAGCAGCTCATTGTACTTCGCATGAAGATGCTGGCAAGTCAGACAGCAAAGAGAAGCCTTTGCCTGCTTCCTTCCGTCGAACAGGCAAAACTTTTAGCAAGGACAAGCAGCTGTCAAAAGCTGATGTTGCTGAGATCTGTGGTAAGAACAGATGTCTCCTATCTGAAATTGTAAAGATTAAAAACAAAATGTTGTAGCCACCTGCTCAACCATGGCTAACTGAGACTGGAAAATGAAACCATGCATATGGGAGAATCCTGTGTATAATGAGAATAGATGCTTACTTAAATCTAAGGATAATACTTGTTTATGCGGTTGCTTGTTTTATCAGGCTCTCAACCTATGCTGACTCAGGCCTCAGCTTCTGACTCTTGAATACAGTCCCAATGTCACATTGGTTTTCAGAACCTTTGCACTGCTGTTGGATCTTGGCCACCAGAGGCTGTACTGTCATAGTTTAATTACCAAAGAGTTGGGGGCTCTTAGTAAGGCTAGATTCACGCATGCCCAGCTCTGCTGTAAGCCAGAAGTTCACACATGGTGTTGATGTCCACAAGACTGCTCCCTTGAATTTTTCCTATTCTATAATCTCCTACTACTCCTTTCTATGACCTGTGACAGAAAGCCAGAATTTGGGATGGGGTGCAGATCAGTAGTAGAGCACTTTCCTACCATGTGCATTCCACACACACACACACACACACACACACACACACACACACACACACACACACACACACACACACACACACACCAACTGGAGGGAGGCAGACTGACAGACAGACAGAAGGTCGGAGTGGTTTTCATATCCTTGACCTACCTTATACTTTCTATAGGTTCATGTGTCAGGAGCCAAGAAGAAGAGAGAAGAAGTATCTCTGGGGATTTGCTCTAAGCACCTAAGACCATAGCATCTTTGGTCAGAAAGAAGGTTATTCAGGTACATGCCTAGATGTTGCCACTGCTGTTCTTGCCACCGCAGAATTGCAGTATCTTCTGTGTTTACCATTAGTTTTAAATGATCAGTGCCTTCCTGCCATCACAGCCATGGCATGTAGTGAACTCCATAAAGCCAGCACACTGTCACTGATACTCTTTCTCAGCAAGGGAGATACTGAATAGTTGTTGTGTAGCTGTCGTTGCTATGTGAAATAGGAGCTTTGTCAAGCTCTTGCAAGGGAGCATTTCAGACACTGATTTAAGTTAATGTGGTTCAGAAATGTGACAAATATTGCATACAACTTTTGGGGGCACAGTGAGTTTTCATGTATCCCTGTCCTCAGGATGTAGTGAATGAGCTGAGGGGAAGCTCCTGTGTCTGCCACTCTGGCCCACAACAGCTTTCAGAGATGGAGTACCAAAGCTACTATACAAGCATGGTGACTATTCTAGCTGTGGTTCTATTGCTGTAATAAGACACCATGACCAAAATCAGTTCAAGAAGTGTCTTAGTGAGGGCTTCTATTGCTGTGATAAGACACCATGACCAAAATCAGCTTGAGAAGTGTCTTAGGGTTTCTATTGCTGTGATAAGACACCATGACCAAAATCAGCTCGGCAAGAAAATGGTTTGTTTTATCTTACAGATTGTAGTCCATCATCCTGGGAAGTCAGGACAGGAACTTAAGACAGGAACCAGTAGTAGAAACTGATGAAAAGCCGAAGGAAGAGTGCTGTTTACTGGCTTGTTCCTCATGGATTTGCTCAGCCTGCTTTTTATAGTTCCACATCAGTCATAATCTAGAAAATGCGCTGCAAGGTTTCCCACAAACCAATCTGATGGAAGTCTTTTCTCGGTTAAGGTTCCTTCATCCAGTATAATAATCTAGTTTGTGTCAGGTTGACATAAAACTAGCCAGCACATGGAGAAAAGGGTTTGTTTCAGCTTATAGTTTATAGTTCATCATGAAGGGAAATCAGGACAGGAACACAAAGCAGTAATCAGAGGCTATGGATGAATGCTGCTTACTGGCTTGCTTCACATGAGTTGGTCAGCCTGCTTCCTTATACTACCCAGGACCACCTGCCTGGGCGTGGCACCACTCAGTGCAAACTGGGCCTTTCCACATCAACCATCAATCAAGAAAATGGCCTACAGACTTGACTAAAGATGATCTGTTGGAAGCATTTTCTCAGTTGAAAATCTTTCCAGATGACTTTAGTTTATATTAACTTGACAAAAACAACAACAACAACAACAACAACTTAGATGCAAAATATGGGCAAGGAGCATCAAGATCATGATGGCGAAATCTACAGAGACAAACAAACCAAACTAGTGAGAACTCATGAAATTTTTAGACCAACAACTGTGGATCCTCCATGGGACTGGACTAGGCCCTCTGCATAAGCAAGACAGTTGTGTAGCTTGATCTGCTTAAGGGGCCCCACGGCAGCAGGATCAGGATACATACCTGGTGCATGAGCTGGCTTTTTGGAGCCCACTACCTATAGTGGGACACCTTGCACAGCCTTGAGGCAGGGGGAGGGGCTTGGATCTGCCTTTACTGAATGTACCAGGCTCTGCTGACTCCCCTGGGAGGCCCTGCCTTGGAGGAGGTGGGAATGGGAGGTGGGTTAGGGGGGAAGGCTGGAGGGGCAGGAGGAGGGAAGAGGTAGATCTGTGATTGGTATGTAAAATGAATAAAAACATTTCTTAATTAAAAAAAGAAAACCCAAAATTAACTAATTAATTAATTTTTAAAAAAGCAAAATATGATCCTAAAATGTTTAGAAACAAACAAGATGTTTGGGACGTGGGATTAAGAGAGCATTTTCTTCTTAGACTTAACACCAGAAACATGATCCAGAAGTGTGCTAACTGATCAACTACTAACACAGCCCTCCCTTTGCAATTACGTATGCAATCCCATATGCATCTGGACTTTTTCCTGTACTTCATGAGGATTTTGTTTGGGATTGCATTGAATCTGTAAGTTACTTTCAATAGGATGACCATTGTCACAGTATTCATTCTACAAATATATGGATGAGGGAAAATCTTCCTATCTTCTAGTACCTTCCTTGATTTCCTTCTTCAAAGTTTGAAGCCTTTCATTGTAAAGATCCTTCACCTACTTTGTTAGGCTCACTCAAATGTATTTTTTAGGCCATTGTGAATGGTATTATTTGTTTGGTCTTTTTGTCAGTGTGCTTGTCTCAATTATCAAAGAGGTATTCTTTGTAAGGCTATAGAGTCATGATTCCTTTATGCCCAGCTCTGTAGTGAGCTAGAAGTTCATACACTGTGTTGCATGACCACAGGACTGGCCTTCTTTATAATTTCCTGGTGCTTCCTTCCAATGTCCTGTGACAGAAGGTCAGGATTTGGGATGAGGTGCAGCTCAGTAGTACAGCACTTTCCTACTGTGTGCATCCAAAACACACCCGCGCGCGCGCGCGCGCGCGCGCACACACACACACACACACACACACACACACACTGGGGGGGGGAGAGAGGGGGAGAGAGAGAGAGAGAGAGAGAGAGAGAGAGAGAGAGAGAGAGAGAGAGAGAGAGAGCAAGCAGGTAGCTGAGGAAGACAGACTTGGTTGAAAGGACTGATTAGTCCTAGGAGTCTTCCATTGTAGTCTTTAGAATCTCTTGTGTCTAGCATCATATGATCTGCAAACAAGGATAATTTGACTCCTATTCTGATTTGTATCCTTCTTATTACTTCTTTTGTCCTATCATTCTAGCTAAGACTCCAAGGACTAAAGTGAATGGGGATGAAGAATGTCCAGAATTGTTGTTTCTAGTTTTAATGGGATTGCTTCCAGTTTTCTTCTATTTAGGATGCTGGTGACTATGAGTTGGTCATATTTAGCCTTTATTAATGTTAAGGTGGGTTCCCTCCAGCCCTATTTTATCTAGGGCTTTTATCATGAAGGGATGTTGGATTTTGTCAATTGAGATGGCAATATGAATTCTGTCCCTAAGTCCATTTATGTTGTTTATTATCCATGTTGTTTTGCATATGTTGAATTCTCCCTGCGTCTCTGAAATAGAACCTATGTAATCAGGTAGAATTAGCTTTCTGGTGTGTTCAGGCTTTGGTTTGAAAGTATTTTGTTGAGAATTTTTACATCTATATTCTTTAGAGACACTGCTATGTAGTTCTGTTTTTTTTATCATGTCATTATCTGGCCTTGTTATTGGAGTAATGCTGGCTTCATAAATTTGGGAGTGTTCCTTCCAATTTTATTTTTTGAATAATTTGAGAAGCATTGGTTCTATCCCCCCCTCCTCTTTTTTTTTTTTTTTTGGTATTTTGAGACAGGGTTTCTCTGTGTAGTTTTGGTGCCTGTCCTTGATCTCTCTCTCTGTAGACCAGGCTGGCCTCAAACTCACAGAGATCCCCCTGGCTCTGCCTCCTGAGTACTGGGATTAAAGGCGTGCGCCACCGCTCACTGCCCAACTTCTTTTTCCTTCTTAAAGGTCTTGTAGAATTTGAATTCAGCTATAGATCCATCTGGACCTGGGATACTTTAGTTGGGAGATTTTTTTTTATTACTGGTTTGGTCTTCTTGCTTGTTAAATAATCTATTTAAATTATTGGTCTCATCTTGGTTTAATTTTGATGGGTCACATATATCTAAAAATTCATTCCTTTTTTATTATTATTTTTTCGAGACAGGGTTTCTCTGTGTAGCTTTGAGCCTTTCCTGGAGCTCACTTGGTAGCCCAGGCTGGCCTCGAACTCACAGAGATCTGCCTGGCTCTGCCTCCCGAGTGCTGGGATTAAAGTCGTGCACCAACGCCCAGCGAAATTCATTCTTTCTATAGTAGAATATAGCTTTTCAAAATATGCTCTTATCATTTTCTGAATTTATTTGATATCTGCTGTAGAGTCTTCCTTTTATTCTCTAATGTCATTTATTTAGATCTTTTATTTTTTGGTTAATTTGTCTAAGAATTTGTCCGTCTTGTTGATCTTCACAAAGAACAAATTCTCCATTTCATTGATTTTTTTAAAAAAATACTGTTCCTTTGTCTCCTCCTATTCCACCCCCTTGTTATTCTGGCCTCCTCCATTTCATTGTTTCTGATTTGGTTTTGATTTTCTTCTGGTCTATTGATTTGGGGTTTGGGTTGTTCTTGTTTCTCTAGGCTCTTGACTTGCATCATGAAGTTCCTTATTTGTGCTCTCTCTGATATGTGTACTGTAAGCCTGAGGAACTGTTCATTTCCCTCTCAGGACTGCTTCATTGCATCTAAGCTGTTTTATATGCTGTGTATTCATTTCCACCTAGTTCTGGGAATTATTTTGCTTCCTTAATTTCTTCAGCAAATCATTCATCAATCAGTAGTCTGTTGTTTAACGTCTATGAGTTTGTGATCTTTGTGGAGTTTCTTTTACTATTCATTTCCAGCATTATTCATCATGATCAGATAGATGAATAAATACATGGAATTATTTCAATTTTCCTAAATCGGTTGAGATTTTATCTATGTCTCAGTATGTGGTCTATTTTAGAGAAGCTTCCTTGGTGTGCTGAAAGATTATGTATTCTGCAGTGTTTTGGTGGGATATTCTGTAGGTATCTATTAGGGCCACTTGGTGTCAAATATTTCTCCATTTATATTTAGTCTTGATTACCTGTCCATTGGTGAAAGTGGTGTATTGAAGTCAGCTACTATTACTGTATTTAAGTTAATCTGGGGCTTAATGTCTGATAGTATTTATTTTATGAAATTTGCTCCTCTTGAGTTTTGTGTGAATATATTTAGAATTGTAATATTCTTTTGTTGAATTGTTCCTTTGACCAAAATGACATAATTATATTATCTCTTTAAACTAGTTTTGGCTAAAAGTCTATTAGAATAGTGATACCTTCTTGTTTCTTGATCTCATTTGCATGAATAGTTTTTCCATCCTTTCACTCTAAGATAAGATAATTTTATGATGTCTGTTTTCTTTGTTATATTTTGCATAATTTCCA